CTTTCTGTGGTCTCAAACTCTTTCCCTTGGAAACTGCATTTCGCTAGTTTCATGTCACCAAATAGAAGTTTCGGTAATAACAATATTGAAGAGGACTGATCTTCCTTAGGGAAGTTCCTACCTGGAAATAGCCCTGACTCTCCCCCCGTCCCTGCTCATTTTGTACACCTGTGGTAGGGCTAGAGGAATAACAGGATGGTATGTGGTATAGCCAAATTATATAGGAAGTGTTCATTATATAGAAAGAATTATATAGGAAGTGTTCAATATATAGAAAGTCCACTGCAATGTACACCAAGTTTTATTACCCTGTTTGCTGTTGAATAATGTTGGAGCAATTCATTAGGCAGGTGACTGGAAGAGTAATAACAAAATGCATTCTTTTATACTTTTATAACTACGTGCTGTCTATTTTTGTACTTTTTTCCTTCATTCTTTCTTTTTACTCACACTGCTTAACATTTGTATTGGCACAGCATCTAAAGACATCAGTCAGGAAGGATCGTATTGCTTCAGAAGCCATAAAAAATAATGGATTATAGTCTGTGCTAGAAAAAGGTACACTCTCAAAGATTCTCGCCTTCTTTTCTCTTGACTTTACTGTGTAGACTGTTCTGCTTCCTGATGCTCTTCTCATTCTTCTGCTTTGGTCCTGCATTCTTGTTACACATAGTTTCTAGCTGTGTCTTTTCCTGCTCTCTGAGATGTTCCCTTTCTGCTGGTAGTTGATACTCATCCTCAAAATGGTGCCTTTTACTTGATCTGTTCACAATGCCTACATATCAGTGAAAGAAAAACTACTCCTTTTTAGTTCCTATCTCCTTTTACTGATTCTTCCAACAAACATCATGAAGATCAGTAGGAAAAGCAATAAAAAGGAGAAGATGCAACACCACACAGAAGAGCTCTTCGTTGCTCATTCCTTGAGAAAAGCTGATTTGCGGGAATCATTCCCTATAGGTATTATTACATAATACGCAGTAAGGTCATTTGAAGCTTGTATTCTAAATCTGTTAAAATAAGAAGCTCTCATCTTATAAAAATTTTCATTTTTGCTAATTATCATGATTCCTAGGATATCTGGACAAGACTAATCTGATAGAGGAGCTATTACATTTTTCATCATACAGAAGCACAGCATTTATCTCACAATATTACTTGCTTTCAGTTGCTGTTAGCATCAGTTGGCTAGGAATTAATTAGAAGAGGTTGAAAAGTAAGAAAATGTCACTACCAGAGTAAGAATTGAAAGATTCATGGTTTTAATTGAAATATCTTTGTTATTTAATTTTCTTACAGTTTATAACATTATAAACTCAAAAATCTACACAATTCTTTCTCAAATTTATAAACATGGTAGTCACTTACAAAAATAATTGTTTTTTATAGAAATATAGAATGGATAGTAAAAGTTCTGATCAAATTCATACCTGTGACAAAACTCATATTTGGTTCAAAGGGATTTCAGTGTTTTCACTGGCATAGTTGAAATACGAGCGAATTTGAATTACATATTCTTGGTCACAAAAAAACCCACTTCCTTTTTGTCTGAGTTTTGGAAAGTACAATGCCTGCCTATGAGTACATCCTGCAAGGGAACCCCGATGCTCTCCTCCTAACGTTTTATAAGGACCCTAAGCACATTTCCTTCAGGAGCTGTTTTTTTCTTTTTTCTTTGTTTGCTTTTTTCTTTGTTTGCTT